GCGGAGGGTGCCGGCCGCCGCCGCCGCCACGCCGCGGGCCATCCGCTCGAGCTCGCCGCGGACGGTGACGTCGCAGATGGAGACGTTGAAGAGCGGCGAGACAGTGGGCGTGCCGGACGCGGCTACGCCGAGGCAGTCTGGGCCGGCGAGGCCGCGGCGCGGCGAGGTCGATGCCGTCACCTTGTCGATAATGCCGTCACCGTTGACGTCTGCGTACACCGCGCCCGGTGCGAGCGGGAGCTGCAGCAGCGTCGCGCCCGAGTCGAGGTGCAGGACCTCGACGCCCTTTTCCAGATGGGCGACGATGACGTTGGGCGAAACAACGTGTTCGGCCTCGTCGTGCGGTGCAATGCCAAAGTCCTCGAGCGAGATGCCGGCGAGATGAACGAGCTCCAGACCCTCGGCGCGGGTTGGCGGGCGGGCAGCGCCCTTGGCAAAGTGGGCGACCGAGAGCGAGGTGTGCTCGCGGAGCGCCCATCGGTGCGGGAGGTGGGCGAGGACGGCGGCACGGTACTCGCGCCAGGGAACTTCGCCGGTGTGTGCCTCACCGTCGACGTGCGGGACGTAGTGCGGCGAGTGGGCATCGTCGTGGAACGAGGCGCCCGAGTGGGCCCACTTGAGCTTCCCGCTGCCGCCCTCGAGCGCAAAGTAGGAAAAGTGGTTGGCGGCGGCGACCGAGGCCGTCGTGTCGTAGTCGTCGTCGGGAATGTTGGACGCCGACTGCCCGTCGCCGTTATCGGACGGGACGCCGTTGCCACTCTCGGCGCTCTCGCTCACGTCTTCGGTATCGGCGTAGCTCTGGGTCCTCAGCGAGGCGTCCATGACCTCCTGCCCGTCGACGCGGCCGCCGACGACGACAGTCCCGCCATCGGCGGCGGTAACAAGGAGCGCTGCGGCACGGTGTGTGAGCCAGTCCGGAACCTCGTCGGCGAGCGAGGTCTCCCACAGCGGCTCGAGCGACGGGCCATCAAAGGCGAGGACGGTCCAGTCTTGGGTAAGGACAACAACGATGCGGGAGCGGGGCGGGCCAGGCAGCGATGCGGTTGTCCGCGGGGTGACAAAGCCGGCGCCCAGCGCGACCGGGCGGCGCGAGACCGAGGTCCGCAGCCGCGAGACTAGCGAGGCCGAGGCGAGCTTGCCGTCGGCGAGCGAGTGGACTTCGACCGAGGGCGGGACCGGGCGGGCGAGGACGATTTCGGCGCGGGCGTCGCCGGCCACGTCGACAACGAGCGGCGGTGGAAGGCGCTCGGATTCGAGCGGGTAGTGGCCATTGGCGTACGCCCGCGACGCGTCGAGCGGAAGGGTGAGCGCGGGCGTGAGGGTGAGGCTCGACGAGGTGTAGGTGGTGTAGGTGGCGGCAAGGAGGGCGAGGGTGATGAGTGCTGCGTCGAGCGCCCGCAGTTGCATGGTAGTGGTGGTGGGGTGGTGGGGTGGGAGGGGTGCTGGGAGGTGGGGTGGGAGGGTGCTGCGAGGTGGGGTGGGAGGTGCAGAGAGGGTTTGTTTGTTTGGGTTGGGAGGCGCGGACAAGGAGGTAGGTCCGGGCCAGGGGGGGTAGACAGTCTCGACTGGGCTACCACTGAGGAGAGCTCCTGGAGGGGTAAAGGGGGGGGAGGGGGGGGGGGAGCGGAGCGGAGGAGGAGAGGTCGGAGGGGGGGGCGATTAGAGGAGGGCGCAGCCGCCCTTCTTCTTGGTCTTGGGCGCCGGCTCAGAGAGGTTGATCTGGCCGACCACGTCGTCGAAGATCTCGTCAATGTTGTAGCGGGTCTTGGCCGAGCACTCCATAAAGGTGCACGACCACTCCTTGGCCTTGGCGTCACCCTGCTCCTTCTCGACGATGCGGTCGTCCTCGAGATCACACTTGTTGCCGACGAGAACCATGGGCACGGTCTCGGCGTCCTTGACGCGGAGGATCTGCTCGTGGATGTCGTTGAGGTCGTTGAAGGTGGCCATGGCGGTGATGGAGTAGACGAGGATGAAGCCCTGTCCGTTCTTCATGTACAGGTCACGCATGGCGGTAAACTGCTCGGTACCGGCCGTGTCGAGAATCTCGAGCAGGCACTGCTGGCCGTCGATCTCGGTCTGCTTGCGGTACGAGTCC